AAAGCATGGGACCCAGGGCAAGAAGGAGATAAGAGTAATATTACCTCTCTGAGTAATCTCCATCTGTAAAAAGGGGATATTAATAGGCCCTCCCCCATAAAGCTGCTCGGAATGTTAAATGAGCCAATACCCATAAGTCCATGACATGAAATAGTTCACAAATGCCAGTAACCATTATAAATAATATAAATGGACAGAGACCCTAGAAACCAAGCACAGAAGGAGAAAACAAGTTCTGACATCCCCGCCCTTTAAACTACTTTGGTTTCTGTCTTCTTCCTTTTTGGAAAGCAGCCCTGTCCCCTGTCCCCATTAGGGGGGTAGAGTAGAACTTGGACTTCAGTGTGGGAGGGTTCTGGGTGAAAAGTACAGCCTCTCCTTCTCTGCCACCCCTCCCCCACCACTGCCAGCAGGCCCTGAAAGGCTCAGGGAGCTCTGGAAGTCCCTAGAAGTTCTGACCGGGCCCTGGGGCCTCTCATCACACCCCCAGAGCTGGGAAGGGGGGGAGCAGCATGGAAAGGAATCTGGTTGAGGGCTGCATTTCAGTAGCCTCTGATTCTAGAATCACCACGGAGAAACGAGGACGGCACAAAAGCATGGCTCTGCGGGACCTTCAAGAAAGAGGACGGAGTCCCAGCTGCTCCTTTCCGTGATGGGGATCCTGACGCCCAGGGAGGAGAGAGGTCTGCCCCAGGTTACACAGTGGCCCTGTGGAGGCAGGCTCAGGGGAAAACTAGACTTCTAGTTCAGGCCCAGACAGCACTGACCACACAGGGCAGCCCTGGTCTGTGCCAGGGGAAGGCAGAGATGTGGTCGGAGACACACACATGGGATAGGAGGTTACAACGAAAAACTGACTCCCAGACCCAGCTCTGCTTCTCAGTACGCATGCACCCTCGGGTCCCCACTTCGCTGTCTCCGCTAGATGCGACATCTGTTTCTGCAGGCCGCTGTGAGGCTGAAAGAGAAAATCAATAATAATATTATTAGGGTTTGTTGAGCACAGGGTCAGTACTCTGTTAGGTTCTTTCTCCTTTTATCTCATTGAATCCTCAGATCCCCCCCGTGAGTTAGGAACCGGTATTGCCCTCCTCCCATCTTCTGGATGAGAAACCTGGGGCTTAGAACAGCGGAACACCTCTCCCGAGGTCATCGAGCTAGCCGAGTGAGCTGCAGAGCCAGGGCAGGAACCTGCCGACACCCGCACTCTTGACCACTGAGCCACCCCCACCTCGCCTGCTGCCAAGTGTCCTACACGATGACTTTGCCAAGTAGGTGTCAAAAAGGGTCAGGGGAATTCCACGGACTCCCCGGGTGGGGTCTCCCAGAGGAAAGAGGAGCCCTGGCGCCACAGTGAGAGTAAGAGTGATGTTAATAAGAGGGAAATCATAGAGGAAGCCACGCCTTGACTAATCTGTGCCAATATCCTGTCTCTTCTACATGACCTCCTTTCCAAAGCCCACTGTTTTCTACACAACGGATCCTTCCCCTTCTCAGGGAAAATCCATCCATCCCATCCGCCCAATTCCAAAGAGCCCAGGCTTCCCTTGGGGCTGCAGATCCGCCTATTGCCACCAGAGGGCAGGACAGCTCTGTGGCTAGTCCTGAGGACCCGGCAGTCCCAGAGACTGGCCAAGTGTCCAGCCTGGCAGGGATGGACCCAGATGCCCTATGACACAGCCATCCATTACATCTTGCCATCAGCTTACTCTCTGAGATGTCAAAACATCTAACTGCAGAAGCAAAACTCATGTTCACACATGGTGTCTGATTCTCCTGGGGCAAAGATCTTAAAGAACCTCCGTAAGAACAATAGTTAACCACCACAGAGAAGGGTCAGAACTTCATTTCCCTAAGCATTTTCTCAAATCTGGAGTGGCTGGAGAGTTACTGAAGCCTGAGGAATATGTCTCCACTGTACAGATGAAGAGACTGAAGCAATGGATGGAACAGGGAATGATTTACTTAGGGTCACCTGGAGAACGCTGGTCTTCAGACCCGGAGAGAGCTGCTTCCAATTCCCTGCCCATCTGGAGGCGGGATGGGGGCAGGGGTTGATGCAGGTATGGATAGGGAGAGGAACAAGCGGTCAGAATGCTCTACAGGGAAGACCAACGGCATTGTGGTATTTCCTGTAAAGCAACCACCCACCCACCCCACCACCCACCCCCATCCATCCATGCATCCATCCACCCAAAAGGGTTCATTGAGCAATTGCTGGGGACACAAAGATGGATGAGAGGAGTTTCCTGCCCTCAAAAAGCTGGCAGTCTAGTAGGGGAAAGTGGTGAGTCAGCAGATAATTATAGGAAACCCCGTGCAAGCCTATACAATGGGATAGGAGCAGAGGGGTCTGTGACCCTCTGGGGTACACTCAATTTGGAGCTGTCCCCTGGGGCTCCCAAGGCCACGGATTATTGGCAGGGGCATCCCTTCTCTGCATCTCACCCCCGGATGGGGGATCCCGTTCCAGCTTTGGGAGCTGGCCTGTGTCCGGGACCCGGGGTCCCCCCCCACCCCTCTCAGAAGATCGCGGGCCCAGGGAACCGATGACAGCACACCTGAGTCAGCCCGCCGCCCACCCGCCCCTCAGCGTCTGTCTCCGCATCTTGTGATATTTCGCTCCCCGGGAGCCGGCCCCACTGCGCTCCGGAGGCAGCTCGGCAAACAAACCCAGCGACAGATTGTGCCGCGGCTCATTCCGGGGAAGGACGCCAAATCCCACCCTGCTACCCCCAACACTCCCTCCCCGCCGCCCCCTCCAGGCCCTCCTCCCAGGCGCGGGACCTCGGCAGGGTGGGTCCCAGTAAACGCTGGGGCCTGTTCCTGCCTTCAAGAGATGGGAGGGAGACTGGAGCCCCAGGGACGCGGCTCTCCGCTCCGACCTCTCCCGAGGCGAGGGAGAGGACATTAGGGGCGGACGGAGCCCTGGAAGGGCAGACGATACACCAGCAGGGGGCGCCTGAGCGTCCAGGGGCAAGAAGGCCGGGAGCCTGCTGGAGAAATGGGGTGGGGTGGGGTGGGGTGGGGGTGAGGCGGGGAGGGAGACAGACACCGGGAAAGAGACAAGAGACGCAGAGATGTAGAGTCCGAGAGGCAGAGAGCCACAGGACGGAACGGAGGAGACAGGGACACGGAGGGACAGAGAGAGAGCGCGCGAGAGAGACGGGTGCATTAAGATAGGAAATGACAGGGAGAGGAGAGGGGAAGGAGGCGAGGCGGGGGGAAGAACGGGGCGGGAGGTGGAACGGAGAGACGGAGACTACAAATATGAATAAGGGTGGGGGAAGAAAGTGAGAGAAATCGAACGAGAGCCAGAGAAGCATGAGCGACCATGAGTGGAGCAGAGAATGAATGGGAAACAGGAACCGGCATTTATACAGCGCCGACTGTCTGCGCGGTGCCGTGCGGGACTCAGGCACCGACAGGGAAGGAGGAACCAGAGAGCGAGGCAACGGGGCTAGGGGTTCCTTTTCTGTGCTCCCGGGAGCGGCCGCCCGGGGCTCTCGCGCTTCCTCGGGTGAGGCTGCGCGCAGATGGCCCCGGCCTGGGCTGCACGCGCCGCTCCCGCAGCTCCAGCCCCGCGGGTGCCGCAAGGCCGCCGTCCCCGAAGCGCCTTCCCCCAGCGCTCTGCGCCTGTCCGGAGCCGCGGCGGCTCTGAGGGCCTGATGCCGGCCGCCCCAGGCTGGGTCTCGGCCGGGGTCACCGTCACCGCCGCCTTTGTAAGGACACGCCTAGGTCACGAATCGTTTGGTATCGCCTCGAACGCGGCCGCGAGAGGCAGAAGGGACCTCGACGAGATCAGAATGCACCCCTCTTTGGGAGGAAGAAGAAGCTCGAGTGAAATCAACGGTCTCCTCCCCACGCGGGAGATGAGATATTCCCTTTAGGACACATCACACATACACATAAAAATTCACACACTCGCGCTCACACCCAAACTTGCACCCGCTCACCAGGGCGTTAAGGGGCACACGCACACACCCGGGCACGTATCCCCTTGCCACCCATCCCAAGCTCACTCGCGCCAAACTCTCGAACACCTCACGGTTCCCACCCGCGCAGACACGCACGCTGGTGGGCACTCAGCGGCTTACCCATTCGCACACTCGCGTGCCCTCCCCCCTTCCGCGGGCCCGTTTAAAAGGTCGCGCGCAAGCACTCTAGAGTCACACCTGCGCAAGGGTCCTTGTGCGCGCGTGCACGCTCATAGGCACTCAGCCTTGCACACGCAAACTCTTGCATATGCTATTCTTAGAGCCACGCACACTCTGGGCTTGGGGTCTGGGAACGGAAGGAAAGGTGGAATCTAGGGGAGAGAAACGGTGGAGGCCTGGACTTTGGCGCCGGGAACGCGGCAGGAGGGGGAGGTGACCCAGGAGCCCATCTCCTCCAGGAAAGTTGGGAGGGGGAACTGGCCAAGTCCACGGAGCTCCCTCACACTACTGCACCCCCCCCCCGCCCGGAGAGGATTTCTCTCAAAGCGTGGCTCCGCGAAGGCGATCGAACAACGTCCTCCGGGTTCCCCAAGGAGGGGAGGGGGCCGGGATGGAGGGGGCTAGAGAGCCGCTCCCGCCTCCTAGTGGCCAGGAGAGGGTTAAGCCGGCTAGCTAGGAAGCGAGGGAGGAGCCAGCGAGTGCGGGAAGGAGTGGGGGTGGTTAGGAAGAGCATCCTCGCTGTCCCCACTCTCCCTCGGCGAGCAGCCGGGGCGCACGGACCGACGGACTGACGGACTCGCGCGCTGCCTGTACTGCCGGGGGGCGCCGGCACCGGGCGTCGACGGCTAGCTCCAGCCCTCCCAGCCCCGTCGCGCCCCGCCCCGTCCCGTCGGGGCCGATGGCTCCTCCCGAGGCCCGCAGCCCGGGGGGCGCAGGGTAGAGCGCTGCAGCCGGGCCACACAGCCTGGGGACTCCCGGGCCCTCCCGGAGCCCCGCGGAGTCCCCGCCGTCCGTCCGGCGGGCTCAGGGAGCGAGAGGGAGCGCCCTCCCCCCGCCGCCCCCTCCCCCGAGCGTCGAGACAAGATGCTGCCCGGGCTCGGGCGCCTGCTGCAAGGTAGGGACCCCAGCCCGCCGGTGGGCGGAGGGCAACCAGGGGAGGGGAGCCGGGTGCCCCCTCCCCCAGGGCGCGAGGGTGGGGCCGCTGTGGGGGTGGGGGGGTTGCCTTGGGAGGGGGGAGAGGTTAGTCCGGGGCCCCGCCCCCGCGCCCAGGGATGCTGGCTGGAGGAGCGCACCCGGCTCGGAGCCTGCTGGGAGGTGCGGGTAGCTCGTGACCAAGGGGGGACGCTGGAGCAGGCGGACCCGGCCCGGGGCTCCACCTGCTCCGGGGGACGCTGAGGACTCTGGCCGGCTGGGGAAGCGCCGACTCAGCAACTCCTCGTGCCCCGTGCCTCAGCACTTTCCAGTCACCTGGAAAGGCAGAGGGTGTTGGTAGGGGGCTGTCTGGGAGGATAGGAGGCTCAGAGGGAAATCCAAACGGCCCTGCCTAGTAAGACAGATGGAAGGCGCTAGAAAGGGGGATAGTTCCATGGACTGAGTGACAGACTAGGGTGTGGACCAGAGATTGGGGGTGGGGTGAGGAAGGGGTCATAGAGAGGGGTGGGGAGCGAGAAGCAGTGTATGATGGAGAAAGTGGCTAGAGGAGGGAGAAAGACAGAGGAGGAATTAAGGTTAGACGGGAAAAGCATGGAGGGAAATGGGACCCAGGTGAGGACAGAGGAAGAGGAGAGAGGAGACCAGATGCACAGAGGGGTGGAGAGAAGGTGAGGGAGAGGAACCCAGAATCCGGAAGGCAGGGTGGGTAATGGGAAAGAGGAGAGCTGGGACTCTGGGGACTGGGAAGGAAAGGGGAGTGGGAAGAACGAAGCCTAAAAATCAGAGAGGGACGAAGCTGGCGGATAGAGCTGGGGTGTCAGGAGCCAGGAAGGGGGTCAAGGATGAGCGCTGTGGTTGGCAACAGAAAACCACAGGGGGAGAGAGTCTGGGGGCTGATGAGGATGGGAGCTGGGAAGGAAGGAAGAGGAAGAGGACAAGATGGGAGAGAGGGACCGGGGGGTGCTGCCCAGGGATGAGACAAAGAGGCTTCTGGTAACCACTTCCACATGGGAAGCTCTCCATTCCCAAAGCGCCTGCTTGTCACATCCCTTCTCTCAGGGAGCGGTCGCTGGGCCAGCCTGGGGGGCTCTGAGCTCTGGGCCTTGGGGGCGGCTGTGAGGGGGAAAGGGTGAGGACATTCGAGTGGGCTGGCAGCCTCCAAGGCTGGGCACCCCGGCTGGCTGCATTTATATTTATTTATATCTCTGGGCCCGGTCGTCGGATCTTGCCACCGCTACCATGGTGGCTGCTTATTTTGGGGTGTTACATTCTGGCAGAGTGAGAAGCTGTTTGCAGCAGCTGTAAACCTCCGTCACCACACCAGTGCTTCCCCAGGCCCCTGCGTCACTAGTGTCGCCACCGCCTCCATTCTGCTCCAGGCTCCCACCTCCTCAGCCCCTGCCCCCTCAGCCGCTGCCTGCCAGGCTCTAGCCCTTCCCCAGCCTTTTGGGTGTGGAGCTGTTGCTGCTCATCTGGGACCCCGTGTCCTTCCTTCAGAGCCAGGACCCTTGACTCCCCTTCCAGGGAGCACCTTTCCCAGGGGCCCCTCCGCACAGCAGGTCAGCACCCTGGCACTTGCCCTCCACCCGGAGTCCACCTGCCTCCTCTCCAAACTCCTTCTTTCACCAGAGCCTCTGGACTAAAAGGTGGCTACTGGGGTGAGAACCTTGCTTCTGAGCCTTGGGACTCCAGGCTGATAGTCCAGAGTCCTTGACAATGGTCCCTCAGTGAATGGATACTTTTTGGCTCTGGGCACCTCAGCCTTCCGGGATCGATACCTTATTCTGGCCTCTCTCCCCTCTGTCCGTAGGTCAATCTTAGCCACATCTCCTAGACACTGGTCATTCCTTTTTGACTCCCAAATGGGCTGTCCCTTAGAGCAGCCACAAGCTGAAGCCCAGAAGAAAAAAGTTGCTGAGAGTCTGGGTCACTTCTTTGCTCCCCCATCCCCACAACAGCCTCATGGCTGGCCCAGCCCCATGCACCTGGGTGCACTTTCTGTCTCCCTCTACCTCAAGGGCAGTGACTGTCACACTCAGTGTGGTTTCTGTGGATGATGTGAGGTCTCCCAGAGAAAGGTCAGAGAGTCTCTTCTGACATGGACTGGTCTGGTTCCACCGGATACTAGCTGCACGACCTGAGACAACTCTGTGCTTGAGTGTCCCTCGCCTGAGCTGCAGATTGGAGGCAATAATATTACTCCATGGGCTTACACTGTGTTATACTCTCTGCGGAAGGCCGTGGAGTAAGACAAAGTCTGGCACACAGTAGGTGCTTCACGACAGATGGCTTCTGCCCATGCCTGCTCTACGCTCCCCTGCGGCTCTAGCCATCACCTGCTGACTTTAGAAAAAAGGAAGAGGAGGAAAGAGAGAGGATGGGGTGAGGCAAGAGGGTGGGGGAGGCTGTCACAGGGGCTCCCCTCAGCCTATAGAAGGAGTAAGCAGCAAAATGAAGGCTTCGAGACAGAAACTGAAGGCAGACTGTCAGAGATCCGGATCAGGAGGCCTGAGCTGCTTCCTCCGAAACTGACCCCTCCCCTCTCCAGCCCTTAGCGGTTCTCCCTGTGAAATAAGGTGGGGGTTTGCCCTTGAAGGCCATGGGTGTACCCCCCTTCCGGCTCCAACACTTTGAATCTTACCCTGGTCTTTGCCAGGGAGTCACAAGATGGGGGCTGGGAGTGGACGTGTGGTCTTCAGGGAGAGAGAAAAGACAAGGCCTGGAGGGAAGGAGGGATGATGAGGAGCCGTGGGAAGCAGGGGGTGGAGAAGGAAAAGGGCACACGCCGGGCAGGGACTAAGGGCGGAGGAGGGAGAGAGTGGCATGGCTCACCAGCCCCCACTGCCTCTGCCCAGCAGCGCTCCAGCCAGGCCTGGGGGCAGAGAAACCCTGAGCCCCCCACCTTCCCCTCCTCCTCGCCTCCAGTGAGAGCCGCAGCCTGAATTATGGATGAGGCTCCTTGGGTTACAGCTGCTTTGCACAGCGGAGAGGGCCAGAAATGGCAACAGAGTCACTGTTACGCAGCAGCTGCTACGGAGGGGCCCCCTGCTCAGGGCCCCTCCTCAAAGAGCCTGTAGGGAACACCATCTCCAACATGGGGCAGTGGGCCCTGATGGGCGTAGATGTGGGGACCAGCCAGAGGGGGCGTGGGGAAAGAGAAGAGGAGCTCGCTGATGTGGGCAAGCAGAGAGCCAAAGAGTTGCAGTCAACCCCTGTAGGCTTGGCCCCCAGGCTGGAAGAGACCCTGGGGCCAGGGAGTGGCCCTGGAGTCTGGAGAGCTCCGGAACCACACATCATTCCGGCTGTCTCTTCTGGGGTACCAGTCAGCCCTAGAGGCTGGGGCGAAGAGCTCCGTAATCCTCTGGAGGGCTGCTGGCCTTCAGAGCTCACACTCTTGTGAGCTTTGTGGATCAGGGGTGGGATTAAGGATCAGAAAAGGATTTGACTTCCTCTGGTGTCAAGTCCTCAGGGAAGCAAGCTCAGAGGGTGACTGCTACAAAGAGAAATGTCCTGGCCAGGCATCAGGAGAATCCTTTCTGGTCCTTGCCCAATCAATCAGTCACTTTGCTGTGTGACCTTGGGCAAGCTCCTTGCCCTCTCTGAGCCCCATGTCCCTTGCATAGAACAAGAACTGGAACCACATGGAGGACCTTTCCAGCTCTGAAATCTCCTGTTCTAAGGCCCAAACCTCAGGCCTCACGAAACCCACCCAGGGTTCCCTGCTGCACTCCCGCTCCCCACCTCTGCCTGGTTCAGAGGAAGGGGTGAGAGACGTGCCCCTCCACCCCACGTGGCTCTTAGAAAAACTCGGGAGGAGAAAGTAATCGTGAAACGCCGCACGGGGGAGGGGTGAGAAGGGCCGAGAAACGCGGAGGTGGTGTGAAGGAACGGAACAGCAGCCGCTGTGTCACTGAGTTATTACATCACACCCAGCCTACACACGCACGGGGCCGCACTCACACACACGCGGAGGACAGCCGGCACACGCTCACGCCGCAGGGCACAACGAGGGGCCCGGTCAGAGCTGGGGCGGCGCCCAGAGCCAAGGAGTGGGAACACCACACACACCTGGCAAGGGGTGTCCCCCTGCCCAACAACCCAGGGAGAAGGCACAGCAGGGTATCTGTGCTGTCCATGCCACACTCAGACCGGCGGTGCCATGTGCACACAGCAGCTCAGCAGCACTCACACCCATCCCTACAATCATATATTTGTATATAAGCACACACACACATTCACACACAACCACCTCTGGAGTGCAAGGACCACTCAGAGCCACAGACCCTCTGTCCTTCCCCTGAAGTCTCTGAAACCCACAGAGCCCCAGGATCTCGGGTCCGGGGTCCAAGGACCTGTCTCCCACCCCTCCCCCTGCCCTCATGGGGCTAACACATTCCTTGAAGCAGAAGGTTCTCATCAGTGTGTGCCCAGGGAATCACTGCCCAGTTTATGGGGTGTGGGCTTCCCTTGCCCCAGGCAGATTTGCCAGGAGAAAACCCCAGGACTAATCTGGAAATCATGATAAAGGGCAGAGGGCAAGCTAGATCCAGCTCAGAAGCTTATCAGCTGCAGAAGGCCGGGGACAGGGATGGTTAGGGGGTCCTGCACCCATACTATAGCGCAGGGATACAGGGACCTAGACACAACACTTTAGCCCCAGGCTCTTGGGGCTCCCTGGGCCTGCTTCTCCATCTGTATCATAAGGATGCTGAACTATTTCCATCATTCAAAAGTTACTTTGAAAAACATTATTTTTAAGTGACTTTGATGACTTTGAATGAGGAGAGCCTGTGGTGTGAAATGCAGATTCCCAGGCGGTCACCCCCAGGAATTCTGATTCTGCCTGCTTTCCAGGACCACCTGCCTGATTCTGTTGCAGGTGCTGCTGGCCCAGTTAGAAACGCACTGACCCCTGGTCCCCCAGGGCCCTTGCAGCCTGGACAGGCCCTGGTTCTTCCAAGGTGAAAGCTTCTGGAAGGTGAGGGAGGGGGCTGCAGGCATGGGGGGTTTCGGCAAGGCCAGACCCCGGGGCAGCCTGAGGGCCATTTTTCACAAGCCTTAGATTCACGAAGATTCTCAATTTAGTTCCAGCCATTCTCAAATGGGGGCGATTCACCCTCCAGGGGACATCTGGCAATGTCTGGAGACATTTAGGTTATCATAACCTGGGGGCAGGTGTTGCTGGCACCTAGTGGGCAGAAGATAGGGATGCTGTTAAAACAGCCTAAATAAGACATCTTACAGGGCTGCCCGGTATAAGCAAGAACCATCAGGGGCCGACCGTCCGGAGCTGGAGAGCCCCGGCACTTACATGGGCAAACCTTGCTTTCCACAGTGTCCTCTTGGCATTTCTTTATTTTTTAATACACCAGGAGCCTCAAAACTCAGCCACAGGTCAGGACCTCTTGCGTCCCTGAGGGTTGCACCCAGAACCCCGCCCCCAGGAGCGCTGCCCTTAGGGGTGTGTGGGCAGGCCCCTGGCTGGCAGGCCTGGCCGCGGGGGCCGGGGGGCGTTGAGGCGGGCTTGCCCAGAACCACCCGGCCTCCCTCTCCCACAGGTCCCGCCTCGGCCTGCCTCCTGCTGATGCTCCTGGCCCTGCCCCCAGCGGCCCCCAGCTGCCCCATGCTCTGCACCTGCTACTCGTCCCCGCCCACCGTGAGCTGCCAGGCCAACAACTTCTCCTCCGTGCCGCTGTCCCTGCCGCCCAGCACGCAGCGACTCTTCCTGCAGAACAACCTCATCCGCACGCTACGGCCCGGCACCTTCGGGCCCAACCTGCTCACCCTGTGGCTCTTCTCCAACAACCTCTCCACCATCTACCCGGGCACCTTCCGCCACCTGCAGGCCCTGGAGGAGCTGGACCTCGGCGACAACCGGCACCTGCGCTCTCTGGAGCCCGACACCTTCCAGGGCCTGGAGCGGCTGCAGTCCCTGCATCTGTACCGCTGCCAGCTCAGCAGCCTCCCCGGCAACATCTTCCGCGGCCTGGTCAGCCTGCAGTACCTCTACCTCCAGGAGAACAGCCTGCTCCACCTCCAGGTGAGCCGGCTCTGGGCACGCCTGCTGGGGCCCGTCCCGCCCTCCCGCTGGGCCCCAGAGCCACGCCTGCTGGGGCCGCCCCGCCCTCCCCCTGGGCCCGGGGCTCCTCTGCCCCAGGGCGCAGGGGGACCCCTTTTCTGCCAAAGCCTCTCCAGTTCCCTGCCCCTTTCCTGAGTTTCTGTTCCTCTCACTCTCACCAGGGGCTTTTCTTTATTTTTTCTCCTTATATCTTCCTGTCTATGCCTGTTTGGGTCCCTCGCTGCCTCTCTCCCTAACTCTCCAACCCCCCATCTGTCTCCCTCTGCCCGTCCGTCTGTCTGTCTATCCCTTTCTGTCCCTCTCTGCCTCTCTCACTAACTTGCCTCCCCCATCTGTCTTCTTCTGCCTCTTCTGTCTGTCTCCCTTCACACGCCCACTCTGCACACTCCCCCATGTCTGTCTGGGTGTATGTACGTGTCTCTTTCTGTGATCCCTCCTTTCCCCCTTGTTTGCCTTCGGGGGACTCTGCCTTTCCCCAGGCACCCAGCCTGGAGGCCTTGGAGGCTGCCTTTCTCACCCACCCCTACATCCTCCCACATCACGTCATGGGGAGGAGGAGCAAGAGGGCAGAGCCCCTGTAATTATGCCCCATGGAAGGTTCCACCTCTCTCCAGCTCACTGGGTATTGGGACAAGGGGGAGTCCTAATCTTTCAGATTCCCCCAAACCTGTCGTTCCCGCGCAAGGGCATAAGGAAAAGAAAAGGGTAAAGAGCGGTTAAGTAGCTGGAAAATGGATGCTCTGGAAACGGAAGGAATAACAGTAATTGCTACTTATTGTTATTGTCATTGATCTAAATATTGTTTATTGTTGTTGTTATGCTGACTGTTTGACAGCCAGATCCTCCCATTCTATTTCCCCAGGAAGCAATCACATACCCTCCAAACCACTCTGGAAGAAATTCCTCCCTGGGCTACCCAGCCTCTGGCTGGAAGGGGGCAAGGACCTCTAAATTCTTCCCTCCCCCACCCATAAGCCTGGAAGGCCCTTGCTCCTCCCCACCCTGGGTCTGGAGCCTGCCTGGTTTCACCAATATGCTGATTTGCACATCAGGTCAGAGCCCATGACACGGGCAGTAGTAGCCTGACAAGTGTATGAAGCACCCACTACGTGCTTGGCACTAGGGAGACAGCAGGGAGCTAAACAGACAAAGCTCCCTGCCTTCCGAGAGAACATTCTAGTGGGGGAGAAAGACAAGAAGAAAAATGCAGACCCCGCTGGAGAAGTCTGCCATGGCCATGATTACTGCCTAAACAATGGTTGTAGTAGCTCCCACTACTACTTAGGAGGCACACTGTGTGTCTGGCCCTGTGCTAAGGACTATACAGGCATTGACTCTGGTATCATTTACAAGCACGTGGCAAGTTTCAACCTTCCCGAGCCACAGTCTTCCCATCTGTAAAACAGGGGCAGCGACAGCCCCCCATCTCCTAGGGGTTTTATAAGCATTCAGTGCATGAATAATTTGTAAAGAACTTAGAATAGTGCTTGGCATGCGGTAAGCACTATGTAAATGCTTGTTAAAATACTATTTTAAAAAGAGAAACAAGCCTCATTTAACATTGGCCTTGGTGAAACAGCCCGTCTTGGACCCGATCCTGGAGATTTGGGTCATCTTCATGGAGGATACTGAGGCCACAAGCGGGTCCCAGAATACTCCCTCCCTTTCCTTTGCTTCCTAAATTTGCCTCGCACCTCAGCGTTTACAAAGTATATTCAGCCCCCTCATCTCACGTCTTCCTCTCTGTTGGAGGTTGTCTCCTTACAGACAAGGAAGCAAGGATGCAGTGGCCCGGGGCCCCAAAGATTTTGTAGACAGCAGGCCTTGACACATCAATTCTCTTAAACCACTGTCCATGTGACTGGGGATTTCGTGTCTCATCGTCCCAACAGCCTGGTCGTAGGGGACAGTTAGGGGCAGTAGGGACACAGAATGGAAGTTCCTGGGGCCACACGACCAGTTAGTGCCCATGGTGCTGGAGCCTCTGGCGTCTGATGACATTTTAGGAATGTCTGTCCCTCAGACCTCTCCCCCAGGCTCCGTCCAGAGGGGCAGGAAGGACAGCGGTGTGGGCTGGCTTTGAAAGCACACTCTTCGGAGCCTGCCCGACCGAGGTTCAAACCCTGGCTGCTGTGTCTTTGGACAAATCACTCGACCTCTCCATCTTCATTTCCTCATCTGTAAAATGGTGACCAAGGTAGTACTTGACATTTACCTAAGACGCTCTATGAGGCTGAAAATTTAGCCCTGAGCCCCACTGCTCATGGATGCTATCATTGTCCTATTCCTGCTCGTAGCTGGATAGCAACTCCTACTGACACCCTGACCTCTTTACCAACACACATTAGTTGTTCAGGAGGATGGACCTGGGGCCAGAACGCCTGAGTTTGAATCCCTGCTCCGCTGTTTTCCGACTTACTTAACTTGAGGCAAGTTGCCTCCCCATTCTGAACCCCAGGTTCCTTATCTTTAAAATGGGAAAAGATAAAAACAAGATCTTTCACAAAGAATGGCTACAAAAAGCCAATGAGTTTGTGTATATAAAGCACGTAGTTCAGTGCAGAATAAATCGGTCACGATGACCAGACCCTCTGTCTCTCAGGCCTAGGCTCAAGCAGGGTCTGGGCAAAGGAGACCTTGAGTGGGCGGGGCGGGGGGGTCCTTCTGAAAGGGGAAGTGCTTGTCCTGCACCCTGTGGTGTGAATGGTGGACACAGTTCTCTCCTTCAATCATGACAGCTCGCATGGTGCGTAAGGGCAGTCTTCGCAGGCAGGCAGAGCTGGGTGTGAATCCCAGGCCCTCCTCTGGCTTGCCCTGTGGCTCTGGGCGTTACTTCGCGTCTCTGAGCCTCCACAGACCCATCCATAAAGCGGAGAAAACGACCTGCACTTCAGAGGCGTGTTGTGAGGGTTAAAGTCGATGCTGCCTGAAAAGGGCTCAGCGATGTGTGTGGTTCAGAGTAAGCATCATTTCCTCCACTGCCGAAGACACTGAGCCTTGGTGAGGTCCAGGCACCGGTGTGAGGTCACCCAGACATTTAGGAGCACAGCCTAGAACCGGCCCAGGTCTGGCTGACTCCGGAGCTCACGCCCGCATTCTAGCACATGGAGCTGTTGGACCCTAGGCAAGTCACTTGCCTTCTGGGGGCCTTCCTCTCCTATTCTCCGGAAGGGACGCAATATTATCTGCCTCGTGGGGCTGTGATGATTCAATTACTATGTGGGGTCTGGGCAGCACAGAGCTTGGCGCCCAGCGCGGGCTCTGACGCAGACGAATACGGTGACACCTGGCAGAGACTGGTGAGCCCTGTGAGTGGGGGTGCCTGGCACGGAGCAGACACTCAATACAGCTTTGCTGAATGAATGAGGTACACTCCAGGACTCACTTACTCATAAATATCAGATGAGGCTAGATCTTAATGATCAACTCTCTCAAGTCCCTTGCTTCATAGATGAAGAAACCTGAGGCTCAGAGAGGTTGTGGAGCTGCCCAAGGTCACACAGCCCAGCAGCTGGTGCCAGAGACTAGAGCCGGGAGGGTGGAAGGAAGCAAGGTGAAGAGCAGGATGCTGGATGCTCTGGGGCCTGGAGGGGGTAGTTGGGGAGGGCAGGGATCCAGCGTTGAGATTCCAAATGGATGCAGAGAGCTGTGAACCGACCTGTAGGGAGGTGAGGGAAATGTGGTTTTCGAAATGGAAGTGGATGACTTTAGCAGCCACTCTCAGCCCGGGGAGGGGGGTGGGGGGGTGGGGGGGGGAACAGCACAGGGTGGGGAGGGCGAGGGCTGTGAAAGTCAAGAGCTTATTAATGCACAGAGAACGTTTTAATGGGGAGAGAGGAAGGCCCGCATTTGAGAGCTGCAGCCCAGGAAGTGGCTGGGGCATCTGGCAACAGCTGGGATGAAGGGAGGGGTTTGGACCCCGGATGGAGACTCAGCGAGGGGGAGGGCCAGGACATTCGCAAGAGGGAAGAGGGGGGAAGTAGAAGAGTTGAGATCAAGGGGTTCTGTAGCCCTCAAATTGGGGCTGTGGATCAAAGGTGTCTGAATTTCTGGGGTGTCTGGTCTTTGGTCTTCCCTTCCTGAGCTCAGGAAGTCCCAAGAGTGCTGGTGACCCCTGCTTCTACCCCCACCCCATGTTGATCCTGACCAGGTATCTCCGGGTGTCCCACCTTGGCTGACACTCCATAAAAAAGGAAAACCCTAACACAGTGTCTGAGTGGAAGGGTTTCAGAGCGCACTCCCTGGGTGCCAGGAAGAGAAGGACAAGGGCGCCTGGCCAAGCTGGGACAGGCTGAGGCCACAGGCGTGCAGAGAACCACTGAGCCGGACACAGGGTGATGGCAGCAGGGGGCAGAGAACGCTAGTGTCAGAGACAGCCAAGAAGGTTGAGGGGACAGATCTCAATGTGGCCAAGAGGAGGGTTCTTGGCAGGCTCAGTTCCTGCAGCGGAGAGGGCGGAAGGCAGATGGGAGGGAGCACCGGAAGGTGGAGGCTGTGGGTGTGGGCTGGGAGTCAACGCCCCCCCCCCACCCCCCCGCCTGCAAGCCTGCCTCCAGGCTCCTAGGTGGGAAGGGCGGGATCATCCCCCAGCCAGGAAAGGGTGGGAAACAGCCTGGAAACAGCACCCAGGGGTGTGCAGGCTTCAGAGCCGCGATGCTCTCATCCCTGAGAACCAGGCCTTCTGGGCCTGCTGACCACAGGGGTATCCTCCACAGAGGGGAGGAACTCGGTACTGGGGCTCTGGGCCCTTTTCTGGCAAGCCCTTGGTCTCTCTGGGTCTCAGCGCTCTCCTCTATAAAAAGCGGCTGGATCAGTGGACCCGGAAGCACTATTCGAGTCAGGCTGACCACCAACAAGCTGGTGAGCTGGTTAAGGGACAGAATCCAGCTCCCTGCCCCCAGGAAGCATACCTACACCTATTCCCGCACCCCCATTCATTCTGGGTCGCTGTCCAGGATCTGTCCAGCACTAACAAGGCCTGATTCCGGGATGCCTCACAGCCCCAGGCAGGCAGGTGGGACAGCCCTTGAAGGGGGCCAGTGATGGAGGGCATCAAACAGCAGGCTTCCTTCCCCTCCCTCCTCCCTCTGGTGGGTGTCCCTGACACCTGGTCCCTTTAATATCCTATGGAAGTAGAACAGCAGAACTTTTGAGCCCCAGGAAACTCCTCTGTTAGAGGAACAGGATTGGACCTAACTGTAACCAAGACCCTACCGTCACCATAACCGCTTTTTATTGATGGTGGTTTCTGTGCCCACCCAGGCCGTATCCTTCCAGCATGATCTCACCAAACCCTCCCTCAGCCCTCTGCAGCCAGGAGGAGGGCACGCTGGATCGGAAGCCCCGGGCTCTCACTACTGAGCCTGTGGGCTTCACTGGACCGAATCCCAATGTGCCAGGCACTGTGCCCAGCGCCTCACCCATCTGCTTTTTGTGTAGATTGTCTCCCTTAATCCTCAGCACCAACGCAGGAGGACGTACACTCATTCCCATTTTATAGATGAGGAAACCAGCTTAGAGAGATTACTGGCTTGGCCAAGTTAACAACAGCGGCCAACCCACTGAATGCCTACCTCATGGAAATCTTGTTCTCAGTCACCTAGTATATGTTGCTTCATTTAATCTGCCTACCTTACAGGTGAAGAGACTGAGTCAGAGATACAGAGACTTGCCCAGAGTGGCACAGTCTGTACGGAGAGATCCAGGATTCGAAGTCAGGAAGTCTGGGCGCCCAGCCTGCGTCCTTAAGCAAGCCCAGGGTTCTCATTCTCCAGGTGTGGCCCTCTGACGAGCAGCATCAGCACCACCTGGGAACATATCCTGCGGCTACACCGCAGACCTGCTCAATCAGAAACTCGAGGTTGGGGGGCTGTGCACAGCACGCCGGGCTCTGCAGGGCATTCAAAGCACTAACGTTTAAGAACTACTGGCCTCAACTACATTGTTTTCCCCACATTAACTTCTCAACAGGTTAGGGGAGGCAGGATTCGAACCCAAAACCGTCCGAATCAAAAAGTCAAACCCTTTGCGTTCCACCACGAAGCTCTCCCTCTTTCCCTTCCTCCCCACGTGCCTCTAAGGACCACTCTCTTCTTCTCTCCCCCACCCCCACCCCAGGATGACCTGTTCGCAGACCTGGCCAACCTGAGCCACCTCTTCCTCCACGGGAACCGCCTGCGGCTGCTCACGGAGCACGTGTTCCGCGGCCTGGGCAGCCTGGACCGGCTGCTGCTGCACGGGAACCGGCTGCAGGGCGTGCACCGCGCGGCCTTTCGCGGCCTCAGCCGCCTCACCATCCTCTACCTGTTCAACAACAGCCTGGCTTCGCTGCCCGGCGAGGCGCTGGCCGACCTGCCGTCGCTCGAGTTCCTGCGGCTCAACGCCAACCCCTGGGCGTGCGACTGCCGCGCGCGGCCGCTCTGGGCCTGGTTCCAGCGCGCGCGCGTGTCCAGCTCCGACGTGACCTGCGCCACCCCCCCGGAGCGCCAGGGCCGCGACCTGCGCACCCTCCGCGAAGCCGACTTCCAGGCGTGCCCGCCGGCGGTGCCCACGCGACCCGGCAGCCGCGCGCGCGGCAACAGCTCGTCCAACCACCTGTACGGCGTAGCCGAGGCAGGGGCGCCGCCCGCCGACCCCTCCACCCTCTACCGAGACCTGCCCGCCGAAGACCCGCGGGGGCGCCAGGGTGGGGACGCGCCCACGGAGGACGACTACTGGGGGGGCTACGGGGGCGAGGACCAGCGGGGGGAGCAGACGTGCCCGGGCGCGGCCTGCCAGGCGCCCCCGGACTCCCGCGGCCCCGCGCTCTCCGCCGGGCTGCCCACCCCTCTGCTTTGCCTCCTGCTCCTGGCGCCCCACCACCTCTGACTGCGGTGCTGAGACTGAAGAGGCCTGTGTGTCCCCCCCTGCCCCCACCCACCCCCAGCGGCGGCTCGGCCCGCCCCCGGCCCGCCCCCGCTCTCCAACCCGCCCCCCCATCCCCGGCCTCTAAAGCCTTCCTCTCCCCTCCGCAGGGAGGGACCGGCCGCCTCTCCCTGCCTCGGGGGCTGCTGGCTCAGGACTGGGTTGCGCCCAGTGGCTCAGCCCTGTTCTCCCCAACTCCGGCCATTAACTCTTTCCCACCCCAAGGCTGGGGTGGGGCACCCCTGGCAGCCGCCGACCCCTTCTCCCAGCGCCCACCGTGGACTCGAGAGGGGCTTTGTCTACAGAGCATCGCCCACCAGCAGAGCCTTTGGAAGCTCCCGGGAAGGGAGCCCTGCCTAGGAGCCCTTTGGAGGGATGCCTCAGTTGGGGCCAGGCTAACCCTAGGCCCCTGCTTCTCCTAGCCCCCCTCAACCTCCCGACATTGGAGGAATACTTTTCTCCTAAGTCTACCCGGGACACTTTTTAGGGTGCCTGGAGGGAACTTTCCTCTCCACCGTGGCCCCTGTGTGGTGAAGATCAACAGAAGTTGTTTGGGAAAAAAAAAAATTTATTAAAAAATTCTATTATTTTATCTTCTTCTGTAAGATTTGTTGGCTCAGGACCCCAAAAGTGGGAGGAGGGCTTAGAACCATCAGAGCCATGAGAACTAGCAGGCTCAGGGCCAAGAGGGTTAGAGAAAGAGGATACATCCCAAGCAACCAAAGTGCTTCTTGTTGCCTGGAGTGCTGCTCCCCCATGATGAGAAGCTGAAGACTGAGGAAGAGGGGTGACCCTGGAGTCCCAAGTAGGCCAGGTGAATTCTGACAGCCAAGAGTGAGTGCTGATATCACTTCGCTTCCCATTGGTCCAGGAGAAGCAGCTACAGACCACCCTGAGTTTTCTGGCACCTGAGGAGCTGAGGCTGGGGAAGGCCTCCAGCCTGGTTAACGGCTCCCTCCCAGGCCCTGTTCCTTCCGGAAGGAAGAGCATTTTCCATCTTACCCTTCAAGGAGAAATAACAGACATCCAGGGGCACACCCAACCCAAACATGGCTTTGGGCAAATCTGAAAAAGGCACCTCATCCTCAGGGCAGCCCCGCCCCACACCACAACAAACACTTGCCCTCTTGTGCCTTTATGCAGTGTACAGCCTGCGCAGTTGTACACAACAACCCTATAGATCAGTGATCTCTTTCCCTTGGCTCCTGTGAGGTGGGATGGACCAGGTTAGAGAAGCAGTTCTGCAAGCAGGTTAGAGGAGAGACCAAGGTCCTAAGGTGACCAGAGGGACAAGAATCCCAAGTTGGGGTACCCTGCTGGCTTGAAGTATGATCTGAAGCTTCATCTTTCCAGTATGTGAAAGGGAGGGATAGAGGTAGGGCTAGGGAGGCCTGGGGAAGGAAAGAGCCAGACTAAAGTAGAACTTGAGAGAGAGGTTGGGGTGAGCCTTATCAGAGCAACTGGGGAGAAGTTTGATGGTTTACATTTAGGATTAAGATTCTAACTCAAGGGGTGGGAATGGAAAGAGAGGGGGCCTGGATGCCAGGGCTCAGAGAGCAGGAATGCTGAGATCCTGTGACTCTGGCCAGGCAAGTCAGAAGGATGGCAAGGAGAGGAGGCAGAAACAGGAAGGCCTGAGGCAGGGGGACCTTGGATAAGACTACGGGGTGGGTGGGGGAACAATGAAAACAACTAGCTAACCAGGAACGTGGGGAGCTGGGGCCTCACAGGAGCCCGTGTCAGGCTGGCTTTGAGGAGGCTAGCCAGTGGGATAGGGGGGCAAGAGCTCTGATGGAGGAGGAGCTGCTGGGGACTGGGCAGGGGGAGGGAGGATGCTGGGAAATCAGAAGCAGGCTGTCCAGGTCACAGAATTATCGCTGTGAAATATTCATGGGCCTTTGGTCCAGATGCTATTTCAGAACAGTGAAAGCAAGAGGAGTGTGTGAGCCTCAGGAAGAAGCCTACAGCAGTGCCTCTTTCCACCACCCCCACGTCCACCACCACCAGCCCAGACAGACCCACGGACGCCCATCACGTGCACACCCACGCTCACACGCTCTCTCACACACACTCGCACAGTGCAGAGCTATGGAGCACGTGCAGGCCAGCTGACACCCACGGGTCCCACAAACAGGCAGATGCACCCCAAATGCATGCACGCATAGCCACACAACCCCCTAAGCAGGACCCTGCACAGAGACCACCTCCCGATATCTCGAGCGCACACATCCCCCAGCGTCTCAGGACAACTCAGATTTACAGCCTTGAGCTGCACACCCTGACACAGGAGGGGCTTTCAAGGCCATCCTGTGCAATCACCAGGATTCTGATGGGGAAACTGAGGCCCAGAGAGGGGAGGGGATTTGTCCAAGAGCCTCCACCCTTGAACAAAACAAAGCTCATTCACCTGCCGCATTCTGTGAGAGGACCCACATCCTGCATTGTCTACCAGACCCCCAGGCTCGCTGTGCTTAACTCCTCTCTATAATCTGTCTGCCTGGTTACCCAGTCCCCTCCTGGCCAGACCCATCCCTCCCTTTCCATTCCCTCCACCATCTCCCTGCTCCATCTCCTCATTACCTCATGCCTAGAATAGAGAAGAAAATAGCAGTACCCCGCTCCCTGGTTTTCCTACCTTCAGTCTCTCTCCCTCCCACCCGCTGCCCATGGTGGCCAGATTCAACCGACCAAAATTTGCCTTGTGTTTTTCTCACTTGGAAACCTACAATACCTTCTTACTGCCTACAGGTTAAAGATGAAATGCCTTAGCCGACCATCAAAGATCCCTCAGAGTTGGTTACCAACTGCCTTTCTCGCCTTTTCTCTCATGGCCTCGCCCCAAATCTTCACTGGGGCTAGAATGATTGTATCATGCAGTTATCCTGCACTTGCAACCCACAAACCTACTTTGAAATCTCCTTAAAGTTCCTCGATCTCCCCCAAACGAGGAAGCCTCTCCCCCCTCCTCAGATGACAGACTCCAGACGCCTTCCGCCAAGGCCCAGTCTGCCCCCTCTCTGACCTCATCAGTGGGGGTTCTTTGACTGTCCTTCAAAGCAGCGGTAAAGGCTCCGGCTCAGGCTACCTACAGGCAGATGGCTGCCCCCCACTGGCCACCTTGGGAATCACAGCCAGGCTTCAGTCAAAGAAAACTGAGCGTGAGCATCCATCCAACCGCCTGGGGAGAGGAACAGGAGAAGGACGCCAGATGACGGGGTTTATAAGCCCTTAAGCCTCTAAGGTTCTTACCCTCAGAGTGACGGGGAGGGCTCTCAGCCCTGCTTTCAGAACTGCTAGCAACCGACTTCAGACCCCTAATCCCTAAGAGAACCCCCCTCCTCTGAGATACAAAGACACGGGGCTTCCGGGACACTGCTGAAAGGAAATTCGCCCACCAGGCTCTGAGAGGCCACAAGGTCAGGGACAGTCCAGGTGGCAGACCCAAGGTCCGACAGGGGTCGGGTTTCTACATGAATTTTTAATGCTTCCAGCCATGGCGACCTGTCAGATGTTCCGAAACCTGAGCATCTCCTTTCATTTCTGTACACCGTGCCCTTCCCCATCCCCATTGCCCCTGGGGGTACGGAAGGGAGGACAGGCCTGGGACAGCGACCAGTGGCCTCTGGAGAAATGATTTTGGGGAAGTGGAAGGTGAATGACCTAGTTATTCTTCTACTTACTGTGTGACCTTCAGCAAGTTACTTAACCTCTCTGATTGTCTATTGTGGGTTTTTTTTGTTTGTTTGTTTTTTCATTTGTGACCCGAGGACAATAACACCTGCTTAAATCAACTTGCTGTGGGGAGTAAATACAATAACCCCGTGGAAAGGTGACCTAGTATTTGCTGTTATTACCTTCCCTCAAGTCCAGCTTCCCTCCCCCTTCTTCCTTCCAACCCCAGGTGCCTCTCGCCCCTTTCTTTTGGAGGCGGGAGCTTTGGTTGGTTCTGCCCACTCCCCCCTAAGATCCTTTAGCCTTTCTAAACACTTCAGCTGAAGAGGGGGAAATGAATGGAGAAGCGAGAAGCGGAGGTCAGGCAGGTGGAGTAAGAGAGGAAGATGGTCCAGCTGAGGCGAAGGGGAGGGAAGCAGTCAGCAGAAGGGAAGGGGAAGACCCTACTCAGAGAGAATAGAGCTAGGTGCAGACTCATTTCTTTATTTTTCTCCCTTTCTCCTTCCCTCCTTTTCTCCTTCCTGGCACCTTCTCCATGCCTGGTGAGATCGTGCCAGAAGCCTGGATGGCCATTCTGAGCAGAGGTGAGGTCAGAAGCACGGAGGCAGGGTTGGCAGGGAGAAGGGGGAGCCTTGGAAGAAAGCTTGCCCACTCTTTCCGGCCCACCAATTCCCTGCCTGTATTTTTTTTTTTTTTTAAACGAGGGTCTTTTACATCTGATTTAGGTGGGAAGTTGCTAAAATGCAGATTCCTGAGCCCCTTAGCCCTGCTGAATCAGATCACCGAGGGACCCTGGAGCTTCATTTTAACAAGTGGGGGTTGGTTACTGAGCACTCTAAAAGCTGAGAAACATCCCAAAAATGGGGTGGTCAGGGAAGGGGGGCAGAGTAGAGAAAGCAAAGGAAGAAAAGTTAGATTCACCCCCACCCCCAAGGCAGGGACACTTGGTGAAAGTAACAGGCGACACTCCAGCGCCAAGAGGATGATGGGGGGATAAAGGAGGGAGGAGGCAGAGGAAGGACGCGGAGACCATGGGGATGAGGACACAGCAGAAGTGAGACCCCAGGTAAGCAGCCACTAAGAAACAGACGCTTACAATGTGTCCCCGACCCTCGCGGCGATCTGAGACCCTGAACTTCTGGACGCGGGATGCGGACACGCTGGAGGCGTCCTCTCGGTTTCTGGGGCAGGGGGTCAGGGAGGAAGCCGCCCCTGCAGGGACCCGCGGCCTTCCCCGGAGGCCAACGCCCAGACGTCAGGACACTCACCTATCCCTCCCAGGCCGGAGCCCG